TAAGCGAACCATTGCAAACCGAAACGTAACAGTTGGCCGGGCAGTTTTGTGCGCACTAATCAACAGCGGGCACACTACTCCATGTTGGGAACTGTCCCCTTGGTGGTCAAGTGCAACTCCCACAGGGGAAGCGCTGCTCAGCCAGAAGCTGGGGCTCATGGCAGGAGACCCCAGCGGCAGGTGGTGGGAGCCTCTCCTGCCTCTGTGGCAGCCTGCTACCAGGGGCGGCAGTGGTAGGCCTGGATGAGCAGTGGAGCTGTGCCTACCCGGCCTGGGGCTCCTCCCTGGCTGCCTCGGCACTGCTACATTCCCCGAGGGGTCCTGGATTGCAAGAGGGCGAAGGCCAAGCTGAGGGACCCCACCCGTGCAGGAATCCATGCACCGGGCCTTTAGTTAATCTATAAAGCACTGTTCTGAATTATATAAAAGTATAAAGTTTAAAAGGATACAATTCTTACCCTCAAAACAGCACAGTACAAAGATCCAAACAAATGGATACACAGAGAATGCAATGAATCGAAGAAGGTGACTGAAGTACCTGTTAACTATGGGCACAGTACAGAACTACTCAATCTCTAGGTTACAAACGAAAACACTGAAAAACGTGGCCTGTTCTCTTTAACTCTCAAATGGCCATCATGGGAGAAAAAACAAACGAAAAACACTGCAAATTTAAGCGAATTTTGCTACGGCTCTGTAGGGGACTGAATTAACTTAATGCCAAATGTGAGTCAGTTTAAACCAAGGATGTCAAACCAAGCCATTCTTTTGTGCAGTAGATCGGAACAAACCCCATCCTAGCCTGGATCAGCAATATTCACCAGAACTCAAATGAGTGGGGAGAAAAACCAATTTAATTAATATTTCTCACTGAACTCTTGATTGATTCTAGCCACCATCCCCTCCTCCCAAACCTTTCTCTCCACACCTCCTCCACCTAAGAAAATGGCAACCCATCCACCCAGCCACTTGGTCAATCCAGAGGTTAATGCTCTAACCTCCCAGTTTCAGACAATGACCTGTTCATTCTACCTCCAATACAAGGTGGGGCAAAAGCAGGGTTATAATTATTCGTATGGAAAATAATACAATAATTAATAATACAAGAATAAATGATTTCATGTATTCACAACTGTAAATCTACTGTTGCTCCATCCTGTATATCGTGAATTTATCTACTTCTCTTCCCCCTACCATCACCCTAATCCAGGGGTGGGGAATGTCCGGCCTGTGGGCCATAGAAGGCCCAGGAAATCATTTGGTCTGGCCCTGCCAAGGCATTAGGACTGTGAGTTAATTAAATGTTTGACCAAATACAGCAGGCTAATTTTTTAAGTTGATAATTCTGTATAGTCCACAAATGATGTTATAAATATCCAAATGGTCCTTGGCAGAAAAAAGGTTCCCCACCCCTGCCTTAACCCAACATCTATATCGCTTACCTGACATCTGCAATAGCTTCCTAATTGGTCTTCTTCTACCCTGACCTCTATCAAATTCCATATATATCTATATCTATAGATATATATTCAACTTGTATACTGCATATTTCTTCCCTCAAAATGTAAGCTTCGTGAAGACAAAGACCATGTCTGATTTTAACTGGGGTGTTCCTGGTGCCTAGCACAGTACAATAAAAGTTATTGTGAGAATGAATGGTTTGTAGAATCTCTGCATGACAGAAGTCATGTCCACAGCAGACAATTATAGTTCAGAGTCCATTCTCTTAAAAGTCTCCCTTCACCGCCTGCCCAGGCTGATTGTATGTGATTTGTTAGCAGAGCCTCTTAGGCAAAAAACCAGAGTGAGAGCTTTGATAAAGTGTGACTAGATGCAATGTATTCAAACTGAGTCTAACCGTTCCTAGCATTCTGGAAAGAGATGAAGAAATTTTGTGGAAAAACACACACACACACACACACACACACACACACAATCTTATAGAGCCTTTGAGACATTACTGCCCTCTGGTGGCAATAATCTTTATCTGCTTGCAACCAAGAACTTCCTGTCTTCTATGTCTCAAATTTTCCTGAAATTTTATGATTTTAACCTTGATATGTCTCCGTTGACCCATCATGTCTTCCTTCTAGAAGTGCATGTCCTTCGGTTCTAGAAAATTTTCTTGAATTATTTCTTTGAAATTTTCTCTGTCCTTTTTGTAATTCCTAAAATTTGTATGTTAGAGCTCCTCAATTGATGTTTTAACTTTCCAATCCTTTTCCTCCCTCCCTGGTTTTATTTTGTACTACTTTTTGAGAGGGGATTCTTTTGGCTCCACCAAAATGTCACCAAAACAACCTGTTGATAAAGCAAAGCTGAGTTTATTCTCACTCAAGTGCGGGAGAGCACTAACTGTGGGCAGAATCTCAGCTACCTCTGGAGAGGTGGAAAGGCAAAGGTGAGAGGCTTATGAGGTCCTGAAATCTGGTTTAAGGCCGGTCTTCCAATGCCGGTGCTTCATTAGAAATCGACAAGGCTGGCCTTGGGTGCCGACGAAGGTTTCAGTACATGTCACTTTCACCTTTCGGGGTCTCCGTGATCTTAGTTCACCAAAAATTGCGGGGTCTCACTAGATTACCTTGAAAGCCCCATCCCTGTTTTACCTGTCTGTAAGTCTAGGGCTCAGGGGCAGGTGGAGGTGGGATGGGAGGAGGTACTGCTACAAAACAGTCCAACATGGAAGTCGGTGAGAGAAAATGCATCAGAAAGGGGGCAGTCAGTCAGTACAATCGGTCTCCAGGGAGGGTATGTCAGAGACCGTGTCTGAGGAGCCCGTGTCCACGCGGAGGTGAGAACAGATGCTCCTTTCTCAAAACTGCAGGATGTGAGTGACCTGGCGGTAACTTAGAGGTTGGACCTGCTGACCAGGCTGCCCAGGTCCAGGCCTTTGAGAGAAGGGCAGTCCCACTCAGAGGGACCGAGGGAAACTCCCCATCCCAGCCTCGTCTTAAAGGGCCAGACACCACGTCCACACGCAGGTTAATTTGCAGGCCGACTGAGGCCGCAGGAGGGCTCACGTGGTGACTCCCAATTTCCCAGGCGTTGCTTTACTCCCCCCCTGGATGAATTCTTAGGGCACCCCTCTATTCGCGTGGGTTATCCGACTCTTCAATGCCCCGCCGGCTCTCTCCTTTCCTCGTCCCCCAGGTCTGCTCACCTCGCCGCTCCT